TCCGCCTTCACCCAGTGGTTCTCAAACCAGCGGAGGACTGCTTGACCCAATCATTGAAGCGCTCTTTCCGCTGGACACCCAAAGCCTTTCCTCTGCCACATTCAATCCATACGCTAATCTCATTAGTTCAACGTCTGGAACTTGTTTGGTGTGGTGAGATTTAAAAAATCAAAAAGACATCGCTTCATTCAAAAATAGTCATTTTTTGACTAGCCCTTTTTCACTTTTTTGAAGCAAGTACTCCATATGCGTGAAGGTCGTGCACAAAGAACGCATTGGCACTTCGTGCAGCTGCAGCCTCCTCGTTGAAGTTTCGCAGGATATTCTGGGCTTTCGCCACCTCTCTTTGATTGAATGTGGTCTTGCTGGACTCGAACGCGAGACGCAGAATTTCACAAGCTTTATTCTGAATGTTGCGTGGTACTGCAATCTTACTGCTATCTCGACCAGGAATCGCACTCTGCAGGTCGTGGCTTCTGATAAGCTTCTGCCGGTGAAGCGCCAGTCCCTGAGCAACCAGGCACGGGATGTGACACTCAGCGTCTCCTTTGACTCCAGTTTTCATGACTCGAAACTGAGGAAACTTCTGCAGCAACGATAAGGCTGTATCAAACTCTCCCTCCTTCATCAAACAAGCAACTGATGAACAGCATTGATCGTCAGTCCATGCCCTCATCCTTGCCGTCTCTGATATGAGCGCTGCAAGGCGTTTCTTCTTGTCTGCTGCCTCTTGCCTTCCAATATTCGCTTCACAAAGCTCTTTGAACCTCCTCCTGAAAGCAACACGTCTGAAATTTGAAAACGTGCTACCTGAAACCCATCCGTTCCTTGTCGTCCAAAGAGCAAATGCTCTTATTCCTTGAGAACATCTTCCGAATCTGCGGCAAGAGCTCTGCATTGAGACACTCTTCACCTGGCGAATTTAAACGCTCATCGGAGAAAGAAGAAAGTTGCTGTCCAACCAAAAATGGCCCTGCCAAGGCTGCAATTCTCAAGACTGCACGTGGCTTCGACATTTTCTGGGTGTCCGGGAAGGCCTGACAGGAAGTAGCACCGGCAAGCATGTAAGACTGGAATGGTTCAAGTGGTCTGATGCTTCGTTAGTTCAAAGACTTATGCCAACTCGACACTTGGACAAAAGTTGAGCGTTCAGGGGTTTAGGGGCTGGACCAGATCAAAATCAGATGAAGAACACAGAAGTGTAAAATTGAATTCATGGGACAGGATGACTGATGTTCCTACTTGACTACACACGCGAGAGAGGCTCCAGAATTACTAGTACAAGAACAGTTTGATTAAAAAACTTTCTGCCAGCACGAAGTGATTTTCACTCAAAGCTATTCACAATTCAACAGCCTTTCGCGGGTCTTCCTGCTGCTGTTACATCATGGTTTCCAATTCACGTTTCTCTTCCGCTCCATGGACTCTTGTGAAAGCTGGCACAACCCTTCTTACATTCAGTCACGGTGAGCTGGCTATTCTTCCCTCATCTTTCTTTCAGGAAGTTTATCCTTCGATACCTTGGGCGATGAAGATAGGGCTGGGTCCTTTTTAGTGGTTGTGAGAACTGAGAATTGGAATTTCAAAGGGCCGAGATCCTCTTAAACTGAAATCTGTTCCGACAGTGGTGACTGAAATCGTTTCTAATCCATTACGATCACAATTTCATATGCTACGTCATATCGGCAATTCGGACTCAAACCTGAAGATTAATTCGTTGTTGCTAATTTCGATAAGGAAGAGGATGGAGGTAATGGAAGAGGATGGAGGTAATGAAAGAGGATGGAGACAATGAAAGATAGGTGCAGACACGTTTGGTTCCTTCAATTGGGAAAATCTCCAGGATTTATTGGAATGAGATTCATCAACTCTCAAGCTGTGGCTCTGCCTCCTTCTCAAGATCGGAGTTCCTTTCTGTTTTGGAATATCAGAAAGGAAACTGATACGACGATTGTTGAGGCAGAAGAACTAGAAACACAGATCCTAGCGTTCGACGCTTTCAGACATCCCACTATCCTCCAAAAATTCAACAGTCCCTGATGTTTCATAATTAATTAACCTTTGAATTGGACTCCAAAGGACGCGAGCTCGCAAACATCAACTGGGGCGGATGACACTTTTTAAAGATAAACTTAATTTGTTCTGTTGATGAAAACTACAACGAATTTCAACAACTCAGATCAGGCGACTCACTGAAATTAGTGCTTGACTCCGTCGCTGTGTGAAGACGCTAATACGGTTTCTGCTTAATGAGAAAAGCAGACGTCAACCCGAGTCAGGCAACACGCTCTTTCCCTTCTCCAAAGAAAACGAGATGGTCATGTGACGACAGATCCGATAAAGAAAAGGTTTTTTTTTCAAAAGAAGGAAATACCGATTAATCCGGCGAATCCTCGGTTCATCATTTCATGGATAACGCAGTCGAACAATATTCTTTCGAATAGATTGGGTGTACAAGACTTATCAAGTCAAAACTAGCCGATCAGTAACACCTCCCACAGATTACGTGATAGGAGCGACTCAAGTGCTCCGGTATTGATCTTCCAAGTTCGAAGATCTTTCGTTGCGAATCGGTTAAAACGAATTTTATGGAGCATCGATTCCAATTTCGTCGTTGTTTCCTTGCCTCCAATTTTGTTAATTCGCGTCTGATTTTAACAAGAACAACAAATCAGTTCTTTTTGTTCATCCAAGTTGCCTCCATGGTGGACATCAATCGATTCAGCTCGTCATTCATGGATCGTGGATGGAGACTTGTATTCAAAACATTCTTACCTCACTCTCTTGCTATGATCGATGATCTAGGTGCCCACTTTCTCCTAATTTTTGAACAGCTGCAGCAGCGACAGGGGGAGCCTTTCTAATGTATCAAGCTCATATACCTTCTAATCCGCCAACGTCATAGGAAGATGTCTCGACTGCATGACGGCAAATCTCTACACCCAGAACCTTCATAAGAATAGCAAGGAATCCAACCTGAAACGTCCCTGAGGTGTGCCACCACTTTCTCAAGTTCCTGGGGGGGAAGAGCAATGACACATCCTGCAACAGAAAAAAAACCACTGAGGAAATGAGATCAGCGAAAGGACGCTTCAGCTGGTGTATTGGAATCCCGCTAGATAGTATATTCGCGTCACTTCAAGTGATTTATTCGTTCGGTGTACGTAGCGGTGGCTTTTTTGGGGATCGGGTGCGAACTACGGACGTCGGCAAGGCTGGGGGAGGGGCTCTACACACCAAGTCAAGTGGTGATGCGTCCCATAATACAAATATCTGCAACCCAAATTGTTCAACGGAGACTCTCATAGATACAAAGCTCAGTCAGAATTGTTTTTCTTTGTGGTGTGGAGTTGAAGCTCAAAGTACACGATGTTCGATTTTGGTTTGGTTTGTTTGAAAACATTATTCACCCCAATAAAACTTCTTCATTATATAACCGTAACTCGATGACACAACGGAGCGCAAGAATGAAACATCGTCACTTTGCGAAGTGGGTTTCGCGTTCTTGTCTGTATGAGCTGTCGTTGTTGCATTGAAGCTTTGCTTAGTCGGTCACTTGAATGTTTTTGGGATCTTTTCTTCATGTTTATTTCTATTTTTCAGATACGCGTGTTCCAGTTGGCACCGAAGGTATTGTTTTGTCATATTCTAGAGTCGCTGTCTACATGCTTTGTTTCAATCCTTCTGATCCACCCACTCCATTCTTCTCACTCGTTGCTATGGTTTCTAGCCACTGCGCTTAGACACATTCCCATCCAGCTTCACACATCTCTTCGTCATGTTCTCATATTCAATGCAATTGCTCGCTCCATTACATTGATATTGAGCTTCATATTTGCTTTATTGGTTTATTCACACTGAACCCTTCTAGTTGTGAACTATTTGTTATCCGTAATGCTACTTTAACCGTTGTCTGCTTGCTTACAGATTCCCGCCCCGATGTCACTGATGATGCGATTGAAGACTTAATTGGTCCCCTGTTGAAGAGCAGTCTCGTCGACTAGCACCACCTGGAATTGTTGACTGCGGAGAGTCATCCACAGATCGGTTAACCGTTGCCGGTATAAAGGTCTTAAGCGAGATTTTGCTGCCGCGTGGATGCATGACTTGAGCTGGTGAAACAAGGCGTAGGAAGCATGAGACGATGACTTCGGTAGTGGAGGAGCGAGGCTCGTCTACAGAATTTGAAGGGGGTGGTGTTCCCTCGCTTTCAACGTCAAAGTGGTCAGCGTAACGTCGATGCTCCATTTTGCGTTATTTGAGACTACGCGCTGACTGTAGTGGGTGCACACTTGTAGTTAGGGTCACGCAGGTCCTCTAGCCTCGAAGGAAATGCGTAAGTCGCTCGTGTCGAGAATGCCAATGTTGAAGTGCTTGTGCCTTGCAGAGTGATTGAGACGCATCAGGCGAAGCCACGTCCATTCGATGGTGATGGTCGTGAGCGCGATACGTAACGTAGCTGCAAAGAAATCAAATCCGTGTTATGGACTTACGACTTGATGTTATTTCCGTGTTGTGGACTTATGACTTGATGTCGTTCATTAATATGGGAGAGCTGGTAATGTTCCCACTTGTCATGATGGTTATCGATTTGGTGGCTTCTTCTGCAAAGGTCATGTACAGGGATGAAGATCAATCAACAAGTGAGATCAATCAACAAGTGAGATCAATCAACAATTTGCACAGAAATCAATCAACGTACACAAAGTGAAATCAACAATTTACACTCACACAGAGATCAATCAATCAACAGTTTACACTGAGATAGATCAACGTACACCAAGTGAAATCAATCACGACCACTTACTCACACTGAGTTCCACAATTCTCGCAACGGAGATAAATTAAATTATAATCTAGGATTAAACAGTGATTCTAGTTCAACTTCACAACAGGGTATCTTCGAACACATCAATGACATTCAGGACCGACCAGATTACGCCACTCAAACGGCTCTCGAAAGTTATGTGTTTGTTCTTAAAAACTTCTATGAAACATAGTTGGCACACAACCGAAGTTGATGCGCCTCTAGCAAAAATTGTGTTGTTGATGCCCTTACAAAGAAGAGTCATACTCCTTTACAGACAGCTGGGTGCATTGCTCTGCTCGAGAATAGAACAGCCCAATGGAGGAGCTAGGCCATTCCCAACCAGGTAAGTTTGAGTTTAGGAGAACCACCTACAGCTCTGGGATATTTTGCACGGCTGCTATTTTCTCAACGTCAAACAGTATATGAGCGTACGACATTCAGGACCGACCAAATTACGCCACTCAAACGGCTCTCGAAAGTTATGTGTTTGTTCTTAAAAACTTCTATGAAACATAGTTGGCACACAACCGAAGTTGATCTAGCAAAAATTGTGTTGTTGATGCCCTTACAGAGAAGAGTCATACTCCTTTACAGACAGCTGGGTGCATTGCTCTGATCGAGAATAGAACAGCCCAATGGAGGAGCTAGGCCATTCCCAACCAGGTAAGTTTGAGTTTAGGAGAACCACCTACAGCTCTGGGATATTTTGCACGGCTGCTATCTTCTCAACGTCAAACAGTATATGAGCGTATGACATTCAGGACCGACCAGATTACGCCACTCAAACGGCTCTCGAAAGTTATGTGTTTGTTCTTAAAAACTTCTATGAAACATAGTTGGCACACAACCGAAGTTGATGCGCCTCTAGCAAAAATTGTGTTGTTGATGCCCTTACAAAGAAGAGTCATACTCCTTTACAGACAGCTGGGTGCATTGCTCTGCTCGAGAATAGAACAGCCCAATGGAGGAGCTAGGCCATTCCCAACCAGGTAAGTTTGAGTTTAGGAGAACCACCTACAGCTCTGGGATATTTTGCACGGCTGCTATCTTCTCAACGTCAAACAGTATATGAGCGTACGACATTCAGGACCGACCAAATTACTCCACTCAAACGGCTCTCGAAAGTTATGTGTTTGTTCTTAAAAACTTCTATGAAACATAGTTGGCACACAACCGAAGTTGATCTAGCAAAAATTGTGTTGTTGATGCCCTTACAGAGAAGAGTCATACTCCTTTACAGACAGCTGGGTGCATTGCTCTGCTCGAGAATAGAACAGCCCAATGGAGGAGCTAGGCCATTCCCAACCAGGTAAGTTTGAGTTTAGGAGAACCACCTACAGCTCTGGGATATTTTGCACGGCTGCTATCTTCTCAACGTCAAACAGTATATGAGCGTACGACATTCAGGACCGACCAAATTACGCCACTCAAACGGCTCTCGAAACTTATGTGTTTGTTCTTAAAAACTTCTATGAAACATAGTTGGCACACAACCGAAGTTGATGCGCCTCTAGCAAAAATTGTGTTGTTGATGCCCTTACAAAGAAGAGTCATACTCCTTTACAGACAGCTGGGTGCATTGCTCTGCTCGAGAATAGAACAGCCCAATGGAGGAGCTAGGCCATTCCCAACCAGGTAAGTTTGAGTTTAGGAGAACCACCTCTAGCTCTGGGATATTTTGCACGGCTGCTATCTTCTCAACGTCAAACAGTATATGAGCGTACGACATTCAGGACCGACCAAATTACGCCACTCAAACGGCTCTCGAAACTTATGTGTTTGTTCTTAAAAACTTCTATGAAACATAGTTGGCACACAACCGAAGTTGATCTAGCAAAAATTGTGTTGTTGATGCCCTTACAAAGAAGAGTCATACTCCTTTACAGACAGCTAGGTGCATTGCTCTGCTCGAGAATAGAACAGCCCAATGGAGGAGCTAGGCCATTCCCAACCAGGTAAGTTTGAGTTTAGGAGAACCACCTCTAGCTCTGGGATATTTTGCACGGCTGCTATCTTCTCAACGTCAAACAGTATATGAGCGTACGACATTCAGGACCGACCAAATTACGCCACTCAAACGGCTCTCGAAACTTATGTGTTTGTTCTTAAAAACTTCTATGAAACATAGTTGGCACACAACCGAAGTTGATCTAGCAAAAATTGTGTTGTTGATGCCCTTACAAAGAAGAGTCATACTCCTTTACAGACAGCTGGGTGCATTGCTCTGCTCGAGAATAGAACAGCCCAATGGAGGAGCTAGGCCATTCCCAACCAGGTAAGTTTGAGTTTAGGAGAACCACCTCTAGCTCTGGGATATTTTGCACGGCTGCTATCTTCTCAACGTCAAACAGTATATGAGCGTACGACATTCAGGACCGACCAAATTACGCCACTCAAACGGCTCTCGAAAGTTATGTGTTTGTTCTTAAAAACTTCTATGAAACATAGTTGGCACACAACCGAAGTTGATCTAGCAAAAATTGTGTTGTTGATGCCCTTACAGAGAAGAGTCATACTCCTTTACAGACAGCTGCGTGCATTGCTCTGCTCGAGAATAGAACAGCCCAA